CTCAACCATCTGTAATCAATACATAATCTTAATGTCCCATCTCCCTTTCTAGCAAAGGTGACTCTGGCACCTCAAAGAGACACACTATGTCAGATAAAACTACTGTCCTACAATTCAGTGATATGTTTTCTCAGTTCTTCCATCTCAACACGGCTTATGCGGTAAGGAGCAACCGAAATAGGCAAGGCACCTGGCTGGAGGTCTATGGTTAATTCGACTTCCCTGTCCACTGGCAATCCGAGTAGTTCATCCGAAAATATATCTGAAAAATCTCGGACTACCAGAATCTCTTGAATACAAATCTCTTTCTTGGGTTTGCCTATTTAGAGAAAACAGCAAGATTAAAGTACTCGACAAATAAGAAAATTTACCATGAAAGAATAAATGCTAAATGACTTTATTAATTTGTAAATGACTCCTTATTAGAAGGATTGAATACAACATTTTTACTAAAATAATCTACGGTGTCGTGATACACTGCTAGGCAATTCATTCCTAAAATTACATCAAAATCTCCCGTGTCTAATTCTATTAGGTCCACACTCAATTTTTTACCTACTATATCTATGACAGAGGCCCTGTAGACAACTTTTTCCAATAGTGTCATACTCCTAGCAGTAGACACAAATAATATAGAATCAAGTTTATCAAGTAATATATTAAATTTTGATGCAAAAATAGGTGAAATAAATGAATGCGATGCACCAGTATCAATCAAAACATGAGCAAAATAGTTACAGATAGTGTACATATCCTGTACCATATCCGAGTTAGCTTCTGCATCCTACTGAGTGAGATTGTAAGTTCTGCCCTAGATAGGAAGTCTGCCCTTATTCTAGTTCCTTGGGAACTCCTTCGGATAATGTTGGACACTACCACATATGCAACAGGTGTTGTTGAGGCGATAGCATAGTTGGTCCCCATAATCCCTGCCATAATGCTGACAGATCTTACCGCGTCCTGCTACTGGAGCCTAAAGAGCCTGGATCACCGACCTGGGCTTCTTGTTCTGTTGAATAGGCGCAGTAGGTGTTGGTATGCGGAGTGGAGCTGAGGTTCCCTGCTGTCTGAGAGAGGATGCGGAAGCTCCTCTCCACTAGCTGTGCCTTGGCCAGAACGGCCGAATAAGTCATGACCTCCAACACAAATAAATGTTGTCTGATCTCTGGACGAAGGTCCCACTCGAACCTTCTACCTTCCTGCCTTCATCCAATAATGTATCAGAGGAATATTGGCCCAACTCTAGAAACTTGCGAGCATATTCTGACAGGTCATGTTCCCTGAACCAACTGTAAAAACTCCATCTCCTTCAGATGTCGGAGATGCTCTGGAAAGTATTCTGCACGAAAAGCCGCCATGAACTATTCCCAAATAACTGGAATAAGCAGGGTGATCTGTTTGAGTTCCCACCGGCGGTCTGCTTCTCCCACTAGCATATAGGGAGTAAGGGTGACTTTCTATTCGGGAGTCACTCCCAGGGTCTTGAAGACCTTCTCAATCTCTGCTAACTAGTACTCGACATCTTCAAAAGAGGATCTCCCTACAAAAGTAGATAGGTTTAACCTCTTATACTGCTCTATATAGCCTGGGTCAATCATGGAAGGAGCTGGGTCCCATGGAAGAGGGACTGGGCCATGCTGAGGATAGACTGGGGGGCCCTACAGTGGTACTTGCTGATACAGTGGGGGCACCGAATTATATTGTAGCGGTGCCGGGTGGTACTGTGGCTAGGGCACCAGATCACACTGTGGTGGTGCCGGGTGGTACTATGGAGGAGCAGGGTCATACCGCGGCGGCTCGAGATCCTCTCACTGCAGGGGTGGCTCAACCTGTGGCAGTGGGGGAGGGTCAGGTAGCTCCCTCCTCTCCTCTAGGCCCTGCTGGGCAGTAATGAGTCTCTCCAGCATCTCAAATATCTGGTCAACATCTTCCTTAAACGAACCATCCCGAACTGCTCGGTTTAGTGGGGGTCTTCATCTCCTCATCTCTTTGTACCTGCATTTCATAAGGAATGGTTGAGTGATAATTCATTGTTTTGGTGTTCCCTAAAGATTATTGTGCAATGAATGGGTCAGAGGAACAGGACTCTGATACCAACTGTAATAACTCCGGAAATTCAAAAGGAAATGTATAATAACTTAAGTGCAGAAGCGAAATAAAAGGTTAAGATTTACATTTCTTATACAATAACTTAAAAGTACTAAACAGCATTAGAGAATTCATTTTTTGAAAGAAACACGAGAAATAAGGAAACAAATGACAAATAAAAAATATCTAGCATCTACTCGCAATCTTCTTGCCGATCGGGTTCTAGAACCTGATCCTCTTGATTTGAAATGGTTAAATAAAAGATGAGCTACACTACCTCAGTAAGGATATCACACTATATCATTGATACAGAAGTAAAAATTGGTATAAAATCAAAAATCACTAATGGAGCATTAAATTTAGTAAATTCATTTATCAATCATAAAATTATTTCTCGTTCACTTACCATCGTGGAATTTATGCAAACAACCTGTAAGAATAATAATATCATACAGACCGATATCTCATACATAATCAGCCATCATAGTACATGTTATAAATCCATATCCGTTATCAATAAACCAAACAATAACTACCACCTTTTTCACCAGCCTGCTGGTATCCATGGGGGCTCATAGGGATGCTCCTGCTACACGTGAACCCTTTCATTTATCATTCTCAATTATGGGCCGTCCACATACTCCGTCCGGTATGAGCGCCAATTTACTAAATCTCAATACCCCGTCCAGTATGAGGGTGAAGCGGACCGTCCCCATGCCTCATCCGGTATGAGCGTCAAATTATCAAGTCTCCATACCCCGTCCGGTATGAGACAACGTTCACGGTACGGTTCCCTATGTACCTAGTCCGTCCACCAACTCCCAAGATATCCAGTAAGACTGTCGTTTCATCTATTCATTTCATCACACAATTTTTACCGTTTAACCTTCTTTTTTTCCGATTCAGCAGTAAACACATAGAATAAACCATACATATATTCAAAGCCATAAAATCAATTAATAAGGTACTATCATGCATTTAAACTGTAAAAATATCAACAAAACAATAGTAGAGAATTTTCAGTTCTTGCTCCATTAGTAATCCGTAATCAATTATGTACATTTTTTAAATTCATACAAAATATCGTATTATTATTTATTTAGAACTTTACTTCAGTTCTATGATAGGGAATAAGGTGAGGGATCCTTACTCGATTTAACGCTCGAAAAATTGAACTATTTACTGCACCTACGGGTGGTCCTTGAATTCCGTGAATTTTTCTCCGGGAACTGAAACGTGCTATTAATACCTACAAATGTTCTAAATAAACCCAAAATCAGTCACAGGGCCCATTTGCCCAATTTTAAAAATTTGGCACAATGGCTCTGTCGTGCTCCGGCGACGGTACTGTCGCCCGTGGCGGCGGTCCCCATCAGGTCGGTCGTTTTTAGCCGATTTTACATCGATCCCTACGAGCAAACACATTAAAGGGTCTCGGTTGGCCGAAAAAATATAAAAAACTGAAACTCACCGGTGGCGGGGCTCTCTGGTGCAGCGGCTCCTCCGACTCGCGTTGTGGTTGTGTGTTTTGCTTCAGTAAACCTGTAAAGAAGAAAACGGTGATCACAACGGTAGAAAAATTACGCGAAACAAGAATCGGGAAGGGCCTCATCGGAGGCGTTTTGTGAAATCTCCCGCGATGGCGCCGCCGAACTTCGCCGGTATTTTCTGGCCAATTGGCCAGTCTTTTCACTCCGATTTGGCCATGGGTGAGCTTAAAATTGAATTTCATGCAAAAGGAAAAGTTTTTACCTTTTTTGGCGGTCAAAAAGGTTTCCGGTGCAACGACGGTCGGCTCCCGAGTGGCTGGGTCGTCTTCTCCGACGAGGGGTTTTGGCGGCTAGGGTTAGGGTTTGGTGTGAATGCGAGTTATTTAAATCCATCCACTTTTGATTTGAGCTGTCTATCGCGTTTGATCTGAACTGTCCGATCGTGATTTAATAGGGAGTGAATATGAGCCATTCATCACGATCTAATCTGGGTCGTCTATCGCGATTCACTCTAGCCGTCCGATCGTGTTTGAATCTGGGCCGTTCGATCGCGTTTGGGAAGGAAGCGCATCCAGGCCGTCCGTGCACGCGGGAACGATTCTCAGCCGTTCGATCGCGGGCACGTG